GAGGCTCCGCTGCCGCACGGGCACGGCCTCGGGCTCTCCGGCTGGCACCAGCCCCGCGCGAACGCCTGCCTGCCTTTGTCCGTGCTAATCGCTCGGGTTTCCTTATGAAGCACGTTCCCGTCAATCACCACTCTCCCGCTGAGCTCACCTGCAGTTTTCTGGTCGACTCTTGTCCTGAAGCAAGAGCTTCAACCTTGAGCAGATGCAAATGCCAGGGCTGGTGCAAACCCTCTTCCTCTTTTTGGTTTGAGACCCATTTGTGGGCGCTGCTTCAACCCTGTAGAGCTCGCTGGAGTAGGGCCAGGCTTCCCTGTGAGCTTCATGGATAAAAGCTGCTATTTTGACCAGGATCTTGAACACCACTCTAGGATATGCACTCACTGTAGAGCAGTAGGTGCTCCAAGCATTTTGTGGATTGAGCTCCTTAGTGCAAGTTAAAACACAACAGAGGGAGCAGCCACCACGACCAGCGTCCCCACAAAGCTGGGCTGCTCTCCACTGCTAGAAATCCAGCTGCTGCTTTAAAATCAAGGCACTGATCTGCCAACGCTAATTAACAGGATGTGTAAACTAGCACTGGACTACCCTCATTGCAACCACATCTTAGAGCTCTCCTCTTCCTGCCTTCCCTGGCAGGGCTCCAGCAGAGCCACGTTTAGGTCTGGTCTTGCTTTCTCAGTGCTGCCAGTGCCAGAGTTTAATCCAGTGCTTCCTGGCCAGGTACCCCCATGCTACACTAACACCGTTCAGCTTTTATACAGTCACAAGGTGAAAGGACTGGCACCCCCATCCCCAAGGTTCAGCCACAGCAGGTTTACCCTCAAAGTGCCACCCCATCTGCCTTGAAATGCCACACAACATCCAAATTTTTCTTCCAACACCAGGGATCTACTGACGAGAAGCCAACAGCAGTGTATTGACTTAGTTCTCATCTTCATTTATTCACCTGTGAAACCACAGTGGGTGAATCATATGCAGTGGCAGAACACACACAATAAAGACATTTCAGCTGAGCAGGGCTTTTGTTCAGCACTCTTTACTTTCCTCAGCCACTCTTTGCACAAGGACACATGGAACAACAACGCTGGGACTTTGCACCATTAGACCTCTCCAACTGAAACCTGTTTTTTTTCCCCCTTCTGCCAGCACCATCTGTTTCTACAGAGTAAACAGCAACAGTAGACAGGTTAAATGCAAGGACACATTCTAAATGAGACTCCCCGTTCTATACCACTTAAAACAAGCACAAAAAACCTCTATGTTTTCAGCTGTTTTTTGTACCCCAGTGTTCATAAAGCCAGCACTGATTCTGAAAATGTCACCAAGACAGATATTATTTCATCGTGACTGTCCTAACTCCCTTCAGAGTGTTTATAATATAGTCAAGAGAGCCTTTTCTTCCTTTTTTTTCCCCATTTAATTCTTATTCTTAATTTCAAGCACAGAATAAGTGAAATGGGTGGAAACCTGTTATCCCTGAAGTCATTACAAACAAAACAAGTTCATTCAAAAAATCAGCAGGAGATCACCATTTATTGGCCGTTATTTCGAAACACGGATGACTGAATATAATAAAAAGACATTTGTAAAACAAAAAAAAAACCAAAACAGAAACCCAAACCAATCTCATCTTCAAACCCATCACTTGAAGGCATTGATTAAGGGGACACCATGTGCTGGCAGATCCTGGTGCAGCTGACGGAACAACATGGCACATTTGTTCCTCTCCTGGGTCCTGCCCAGGGTGTGGAACAGCCGTGCCTGGAAGTAGAGAACGTCTCTGAGCTGCTCTTTGCAGTCCACCTTGGCAAAGTAAGTCTTGGCTTCATTTAGGTTCAGGATAGCAGATTCCAAAGCTGTGGAAAAAAGGGATATTTTAGATAATATCTCAGTAACAACTCCGAGCGATACAGCTCAATTTTAAGGAGCCCAGTTACAAATTCCTCAGCTTTTTCAAAACAATTTGTGTCTTAGCAACATGGTCCTTCAGCTTGTTTGTTATTCAGCTTTTGCTGCAAAACACGGGTGTGAAAGTCTGCAGATAAACAGGCTCCATTATAAACACTGCATCTCTTATTAGTTATTCGACTGATCCCAAGTGAATTCTGCTATCCCATAACTCAGTAACACACTCTGCAGTACCACTTAAACTCCCTTAACAGTGATTATGTAGCAGACTCCAGTATATACACTGCTCTGCACTTCGACTTCTGGGTGCTGTTTCAGTGAGGAGAAGAGTTACTCTTCACACTACCTTCAGTCTTCTTTTCTGGAGTGTAAGAAGCTGCAGAAGCCACCTGACATTTGGCCACCAAGAACATGGCGCAGCCTTTGTCCAGGACAGCTCCGTGGGCCAGGACAGGTTCTATTGCCATGTGCAGAATATTCAGGGCTTGTTCAGGCCTGCCAAGGATCAGCTGAAAGAGAAACCCTTGCTGGTCTAATACTGGAATCCACTGGTGGAAGCAGCTTCTTCAGAGAAGACCAACATAAGCCACATCTGTTTCTTGTAACACAATGTGCTACAGACACAGATGTAAACATTTATTAAACATTATCTTCTTTTAAATCAAAACTCACTGGCAGACCTGAGCTGCTCTGGGCAGTGATTAGGCACAGCTCCTGCACTGCAGTCAGTGCTGATGGCCACGTCTCTGCCAGCTCAGAATAAACTAACTCAACTCCATTACTAGCACTATCTTTAATTCAAGCACACACCAAACTGTGTTACTAAAAATCCCAAATACTAGCAGAAAAAAACACAACTGAAGAAGTAAAGGTATGGCCCACTTATGCTTGCCTTTATTACATGCAATAAGCACACACCTTAGCAATACCCCTGAAACTCAACTTTAACTTCCTCAGAAGATTTTACATTTTCAATACACTACTTCTTCAGAATCAATTTAATTCCAACAAGGCTGTGTTCTTAAACCTCACAGGATGTAACCAGCATCCCAATCCCCAGAACAAAGGTTGCCCCACAGCCCTGTGAGCACAGCCCAGGCATACCTGGGAGAAAGCCAAGTTCAGCACCGTTTCGGAGGCCAAGTACTGCAGGCTGTATTCTCTGGAGAGGGCGAGAGCCTGCAGCAGGACAGGCAGTGCTATGGTGTGGCATGAAGACCTCCAGTAGAGCTCTGCTATTGACAGCAGCACACTGACCACAACAGGAGGAAAGAATTACAAAGGTTTCCTTTCCATGACAAATGTCTGCTTGTTTCCCAAACAACTATTCCATCCATACTGGTACTGATTTTATTAGGAACTAGATTACTGCATATACAAGGCACTTCAATTACACCCTCAAAAGGAGATGCCCCTGACATACAAAAGGTTAACAAACCCTCTAAGTACTCTGAAGGTTAGCACAAAGGTACAACAACACACTATTCCCTTCTTATTTTGGATGCAGCATTTCCTTCTTCCATAAGTCTTCACGGAACTTGAAAATACGTTTACTACCTTTTAGTTTACATATGAAAGATGACCAGGTTTCAATTCCACAATATTTCAAAGATTCCTCCATACCACAATTAATAAGTGAAATTATTTTGTAATCTCTAAATCATAATCTGAAGAACACAAGACAAACTGAAATGGCTGATGGACAAACTGAAATGGCTGATTTCTGAAAATGAAACGCTCTTACCGAATCACCATCTCAGTGTTCTTCATCTTCTGGCAGTGGATCAACAATTTCTGCAAAAGTTTGTGTGCCTCTGACATTTGATTTTGGGCTTTCAATACAAGGGCTTTTCTGCCGTGGTAGAAAGAAAACGTCACTGATGATATTTTTACATTTTAGATGCAATTCTGCTCTTCAGAACACAGGAAAATAGGTCTGTACTTTGTGACCTCTTTCTGGTAACTGCAGAAGGGCATTCTGACAAAGCACACATGGGATACACCCTGGATGGGGGAAACCTGGGGTCTCCAATTCCAACCACACAGCACACAGGCAGAAAGGATCACACTCATAAAACAGCTTTGGAGAGAAAACAAAAAGCCAAACCCAAAGGCCAAATGGGCCTTTGTAAGCCAGCAAGCACAAGGAATTATTTGTAAGAAAAACAGGTATGAGGTAAAGTAGCTAAAATTGGCTTGAGCTAACGAGGATACGAAGCAACAGGGAAACAGCAAGAAGGAGGAAAGAAGAAACAAACACACGAACGCCCCAAACCCAGACACACAGAACATTTAAAGATCAGGGAAATCACAAGCAGTCCAATTCCAGAAGGACAAGCATCAGGTCCCACAGCTTGAACACCACTCTTCTGGCTTGTTGGCACTGGCTGTGTTTTTAGGTGTTTTGAAAATCAACAAGAAATTGCTTTTAACAGCAAGCTGTTTTTCATACTCACCAAATAACAACCTATTTTTAACATGTCTAAAGTAACACATTCAGAAATGAGAACCCATTAAAGTGAAAGAGAAAAACCATATTGTTCTGTTTGGTAGATGGAGGAAGCAAGGCACAGATGAAGCTCAGAGCAGGCCTGGACCCCCTGCTCTCTGACAGACAACTTCTGCTTTGTGCTGAGGTTTGAGTGCAGCTCCCACGGCAGATTTTGAAGTATTTTGTGTTCTCACAACAGATCTACAGCTCTAGAATAACACCAACTTCAGCAGTGTCATCCCAGTTTGTTTGTTTTTTTTTTAAAAAAAGTCCAGAGAAACAACTAGAAATGATTATTGGAGGTCATACTCTAGTGGAATAAGCACTACAAGTTAGATAACATGACCATAATTAGTTCTGGAAAGGGAAGAACATGCAAGCACACAGGACTGCCAGCAATCATTTTGCTAAATTTCTCATTATGGACACATATGCAGACTCACAACTTCTTACCTGTACACGCCTTCAATGCTATTAAGTGCTGTAATTCCTGCTACAAGAGAATCTGCTATATGGTATTTGCCATCATTCATGGCTCTCTCAAACTGTATTTTCTGATCAAACAGCATCCAGAGCTAAACAAAGAACATCCAGGAACAAGTTTTAAAAGTTGTGCCTGCTCATTTCCTAAGACAGAATTTACTTTTATTTCCCCCTGTGGACATTTATGTCTAGACACAATTAATCCCACTGTCCAATTACTGGATTTCCTAAATTACTGTGCTCAACAGAAACACTCAGGTCTGGATTAATGTTTTAACACCAAAACTCATCTATTTAACTGCATTTTAAGTATAAAAGCTCTTTTAAATCATTACTAATGCTTTCAAGCAGTAGACTTGTACTGTAGTGAAAAGGACCAAACTATATTTAATGGAATCTTGAACATTTGAGTGTAAATATTATCTTACAGAATCATGTGTTAATGTGTTTCCCAGAGTCACACAAACCCCAGCCTATTCTCTGTTACTTCTGGATTGTAATGTACCAAAATAAGTAGCACTAATTAAACAGAACGTTGAAGCTCCTAATCTTCAAAGGACAGGGCATTTAATTCCTGTATGTGCTCACAAAGGAGATGTACATTCCTCTGTCAATGACATTTCTATTTAAACAGTTTTTTCTTAAGAGGCTATGCTGAGCAAAATGTCCCATTGGTCTTAAAACCACAGAGGCACCTTTTTCATGCTTTTATAGAGAAGTTTATGCTGCAGAGCTTCCCGTGAGGTCATGAGCCAAGGGAAATTAGCAACTGTATAACCCAAGGCATAGAGGAGAGAACTCGGATGCAATGGGATTCAGGTCCTATATAGTACCTAACAGTTACATAATTTACAGGCTAAATTATAAATATTCTACCTGTGCATGCTGACTGCTGGGGGGGAATCTTTCCTTCAGGTGTTTCAGTACTTCAGAAGCAGCTGCAAAGTACCCCTGGAACAGAGAAGGAGCACATATGGACGTACACTGGGGCAGCACCCCCCCCATCTCAACACAGCCTCCAGGGACAGAACTCACCCAGAAAACTCTGCGTTTTCCTCACCCCCAACACACACATTAAAGGCAGAACCAAACACCAGTCAAGCCTTGCCCTCTCTGTCAGTCTCACCCACAGGTCCTCTCCCAGCCTGTGCCCCCAGCTCACCTGCTCTGCATGGAGCTCAGCCAGGTGGCACAGCACCACAGCGAAGGACTCCGTGTTGTTCTGCTGCACGCCCACGTTCACGGCCTCCAGGCTGTTCATGCTCAGCAGGGTTTGGGCCTGTTGAAGGGCCATGGTGCTTGTGCAAGAGAAACATCTTTTAGCTTTCAAGCAAAAAAACAGGCGCCATTTTTAGCCAGTGTTTCAATGGTCTTGTTATGACAACAATCTACATCTTCTGGGGAGCCAGTGGCCTGGGGGAGAATGGAAACTTGTAAAGCAGCTGCTGTTGAGGAACTCTGGACTGGGCAGGCACATCGAGTGCTGCTCCCTGAAAGCTGCACACTGTCTAAGCACAGAGATGCTGGAAATGGAGGCACAGGGATAATGTATGCACTATTTGCCACTACTAAATGGAAACTCAATCTCTTCTCCAGCATCAGTTTTAAAGGAACTAAGAGAAGGGAAATAGCTGCACTCAGCCTGTTCTGAATCACAGTCTGATTGTTTTATTTTAGTGCACTGGAGAGACACAGTCACTTGTTACACCTATATAAATAACTCCAAATGCCAACCTGAGAGCTCCAAAGGAAGGCAATACCTGCGGCCGTACAGCCTCCAAATGGCAGTCTTCTGAGCTATGCTGATGTCAATCAGCTCTGACAGGCTGTGTTTCCAGTGCAGCAGATCAGAGTCTTTTAAGGCATCCATTAGTTTGTTGGCAGCCTTTCCTGCAAATGCTCTTTGCTGAACCAAGGACTGTATTCCCAGGGAAGCGAGGTACTGGAGAGAAGAAACAAAACCCAACAGCACTGAAAGGCAATAGAGTACATGACACTTTTACACTGAATTACACCAGAGGAAGAGCTCTAAACTAAGACAAAAATCCCAAAGCAAAAGAGGTGATGTTATTCAGCCCAGATAAAGGAACTCTGCTCCAGGCATTTCTTTAAATACCCACTTACACACCCCCACATACGTGAATGCCATTTTGTTAGATGTGAAAGGTAATCTCCACTCCCACACACAGGAGTCTTCAAGAGGATGACAGGACTTGTACCTGAATTTCTTCAGTGATGAAACTGCTGTGAAAACAGAGCCTTCCCTCCCCCTCCCCACCAAGCAGCCACGCCTGCTCCCAGCTCCCATCAGCAGCAGTTTAGTTCCCTCTAGAACAATCTCTTCACAAAGAGATTGCAGACCTTGGGGAAGACAGGACTAAATGTCAATGGCCAACAGACACAGGGCACAAAGCCATCTAAGAGGAGGGCTGCCTTGAAAGATTTCACAAGATCTCTGCAAGTAAATGTGTTCAAAGCCCTGCCAGAGAGATCAGCACCAAGTTTTAGGGAAGGTGATGGCATAAGAAGCTCCCTTGAGCACCAGCAGACTGAGCTACAGGCCTAGGGCTGAAGTGGTGCACGGGGCCAGGCGAGTAGCCACAGAGAGATTTTCTGCCTGAAAAACAAGTTAGGAGGAAAAAAAGTGAGCCTTGCAATAATGCACAGGCAGCAGAGCAAGGGAACTTTGGTTTGCTAAGATGAAGAGGAAAAAGAAAGGAAACAGATAGATTTTGCAATGTTAAGACAGGTACCTGAATTTAAACAAATCTATTTTGAACAGACCAGCCACAAAACCCCAAACCCTATCATGCATGCTCCCCTCAACACATGTGTTTGGCCTAGATTAAAGTTAAAGATAAATGAAATGGACTTACTGGCAAACCAAAATGCAAAGACTTGTTGACAGAGTGCTCCAGCAGGACACAGCTATCAAATATCTTCTGCTCCAAGATGTACAACCAGCTCTAGCAAGGGAAGAGTGAAAATCCCACTGTAAATAGCTAACGGCTGCAGCACTTTCAGTTCTCTCTTTTTGCAGAGAATGCAAGAAAACTCACTGGAAATATAAACCATTCTTCAGAATTAATATGATACTATGGAAATTTCTTTTAAATGCTGCCCAGCAAAATGTATTTTGCTGCCAGCAAAATGAGTGCAGCCAGGCTGGGACATCAGCCTGACAGTAGTCAGCACTAGAGGTTCAGAGAAATGCACAGAAACCCCACTGCACTGTGGGAAGCAGCATCTCAGGAGTTTGATACTGTTGATGTCAATTCATTACAATGAGAATGTTAATTACAGAAAATTATAAAGAGAAATCTAAGTCAATCCCTCCTCCTTTTTGTTGGCTCAGAAGGTGGCTCACTGAGAATCCAGCAGACAGTAAGGAGGAATTTCATGCACTGTTTTGCCTCTTTAAAACATGTTAGACTAGGCACAGAGCTTTGTACTGAAATCTCAGTATTCTGGGACCACAGCTCCAGTTTAAGAAAGTAATCCTGAGTTGCAACAAACCCATCCCATGATCTCCCTACAGTTTGCTGCCCTGTGTGACTGACCTGTCAGAAGCAACGTCACCCCGCTGCTCGACAGTCATGTTTAAGTGAGATGCTGCTGTAAGAGCAGTTCTGCAGCAGCTCCCTGAGCAAAGCCTCGGACAAGAGACACCAGTGACCCCACCTCCACTCCACCCCAGCTGTCCTACCAGGCAGTGCTGCAGGCACACGTGGTCGTTGGACTCCTGGGCGATTCGGATGGCTTCCTGGAGCGCGAGTTCGGCCTGTTGGCTGCCAGCAAACAGACAGGGGGACACGTTGGCATTCCCACACTGCTTGCAACACAGCGTGATGATACAGAGGGATATTACCTAAATGATGCATCTTGCACTCAGAAGACAACTCTGACTTAACAGACTGCTGAGAAAGCCTATGTCTTCATGACCTGAAGCCATGACAGAAATGCAGCTGTAACCCCTACGTGGGCTTTCAAACCCTGTACCTGCCACTGTGCCACTTTATGGTTCCAACCGGGGCAACATTAAGTATCTGCCTGTGTAGACAGCGTTGTTGCCCTCAATTCTTTCCCATCTCCAGTCTTTTTACATGATGCATCCAGGCAGCAGTCAATAAATGCCAACCACAAAGCTGGCTTACCCATCTCCATATACCAATATCACCCACCCCTATGGCATTTTGAAGTGAAAAAAGCTCAGATGGCTTTGTTTTTTGTTTTTTTTTAATTGTTCTTCCTCCAGATTGTCAGCTCCACGTTGATTTGAATGCTGACAGAAAACCAACCACACTTTCTTGAGAGTAAAGCTGAAAAGACACTCACGTCCTCTGCCCTTTCTGAGGTCACGGAAATGCAGCGACTGAGAACTTAAACACCCACGGAACAGTCGCAGCCAGAGAGACAAACATCACCTCTCACCCTGCTGTAGATGGCTCAGTTATTACCAAATAAACGTCAGAATAAACCCCAACCAAGGCAAGGCTGCAGTGCAGCAGCTGGACTCACTAGTGGCCGAAGCGGCAGTGCAGCGCCGCCAGGTTGAGGGCCGCGTAGCGCAGGCTCCGCCCATAGCCCTCCTCCCCGTTGCTTTTGCTCTCTGCTCCCGTCAGAATCAAACGGTCGAAGTAATGAAGGAGGCTGTGTGTGGAGCTGAAGACATCTTGCACTCTGAGGCTATTTAAGTAGCTTAAGTAGTGCTGAAAAACAGAAGCAACATCAGCTTTAGCTATGCGGCGTTATGAAAACAAAGGTTTGGTTGGTAATTGCTGTGTGTCTTCTTCTGGAGAAGGCTCCCTAGTAAACACAACCATAACATACAGGAAAGTGGTTGATCAGAAGCTGCAGCAATACTGGTACTACCTGTGCAGAATTTCTGTATATTGTGGATAAACTCAGTTGTTTTTCCCTAACAGGATGTTCCAAATGGTGTCCCATAGGCCCAGCTCTGCCTGTCAGAATTACTCCACCCAGTCTGAGACCCCTACACAGGTAGAGTCCCTGTATTTATGTGCTAAGCAAGACTGGGAATGGAGGCATGACTCCCCCTGTGTCTGCTCTCAGGAAAATACTCAGAAGCATGAGCATGGCTTCCAAATGCTGTGCAGAGAGAAAGGAGATGGCAGAACGATGTATTTTCTTCTTGGCATTGAGCTGGGCAAGACAACCCTTTATGTCAGAAAACCAGAACACTGGAGTTGTGAAGGCCAGCCCCTGCTGTGGCAGCCCTTTCAAGGACATGTCTCCAAAGGGGAGGAGGGAAATACTGTCAGCCTCAGCCCAGGGCTAGTGGGAGAGAGAGTCAGGAAGTAAGGTATTAAAGAGTTGAGTGGGAACTCGTGGAACTTGCTGAAGAACAAGCTGTTGAGGAACAAGGCAAATGCTCAGCACAGGTCTGGAAACAACTCTCAGTGTGAGCTGCCCATTGCTTTCAGTATAAACTGCCAGTAAGGACCAGAAGTAAAGTAAACATCAGTAAGCAAAATCAACAGATATTGCACTTAATCCTGATTTTTAAACCACGGGAGTCTGAGGCCTGACATTTCTTAGAAAAATGTGTAAAAAGAAATGTTTTAGATTTAGTTGAACACCAGTGCACTCACATAGTCCCACCAAAACTAAGAGGATTGTATCTGTGCATAAAGCCAGACATGTGGTTAAGCACTTGGCTTAATTAAAGTTTCTGTATCTTCAGGAGCTTCAGTCTGAATTACTAAACATTTACATGCAACTTGATCACTTTTTTATCATCTGCTTATATTTCAACACAGAATAAATTACTCCCAAATAATCCCATCCTAGAGTTAAGAAATCCCTTTACAGCCATTTTGGGTGAAGAGAAAGATACTTACTGCTTCAGCAAAGTCTGGATTAAATTTTAACAAGTTGTTCAATTCCTTTTGTAAAGATGCTGGAGTAAGAGCCTTTGTTTCATCATTCTTTAATAAAGAAGCCTGGAATAAAAATTGAAAACTAGAAGTCAAGTAAGTAATTCAAACTGTAGGGTTACAAATATATTTTGATACAGGCTTGTCAGTTTGTTATCTGCTTGGAGAGAACATTAAAGAAGATTTTGGAGCAGCTCTGTCTACTGTGAGACTGAAACATCAGTGACAGTTTTATTCTGTATTTTGTTATAGCATTCCCCTTCCAGAGATCAGAGAGACCAAGCACAATAAAGGCTTATTCAAAGGACTGTTTAAAGATACTTAAAGAGTCCTGTCTAAGTTTCTCTTTGAAGAACAAACACAATGGATCACTCACTGGAATTACATGTATCTTCTCACAGAAAAAAAAAGTCAGGAAACTAAATAAAAGTAAATCCATAGTTTGCTTTGGCAAGTAGATCAATTAATAAAAAATTACAATAATCTGGTTACTAGAATATGTATTACTGAATAATAAAAGACTTCAAATTTCAGAACCTACCTAAACATCACAATTCCTCCCTAAGAAAAACTTTATACACACTGCTGCCAGATACTCCACACAAATCATTCCAGCTGAACCCCATTGTAACAGAGCATCACTGCCAGCCAAACCCATGCCCTGCAGATCACTGCAGTGTCTCCTCTTCTCTTTCAACCCCATTTCTCACTCTGCTCCTGGGTGAGGGCTCCCCTGTTCTGCAGGTTTATGGAGTACCAGCAAGTGGAGGAAGAGCACAAGGGTCTGTGTGGCTGTGGTGCCAGGAGCTGGAGTGGGGACCACGGGTCACAGAGGCCCATGTGTCTGTGGCACCAACAGCTGGAGCAAGTGAGTGTGTCAGTGGGTGGCCACTGGTGAACAGCAAGCTGGACCAGGCAGGAAGCTGGGCAAGCAGCTTGAGAGCCAAGTCCTGAAACAGCATAAGACTGGGCCAGATGTGTTTCTCTGAATGAGGCCACTGGAGGAAATCCAGGCCAACCAGCAGGTCCCAAGCCTTTGGGTCAACTGAAAGATGCCTCAGGATGTGTATAATGTCTTTCTGCTGGAGGCAACTGGAGACAAGACAATCCAGGGGCCACTGACTTCATCAGCTGAGTGTATCAGCCCAGTCACTGGTGGAACTGAGAGGACGAGGGGCACAGGAGAGTGTAGGCATGGAGCTATTTCTCACTAAAGGACTCTCACCCTTGTCAGCCAGCACAGAAACAGGACATCAGAGAGCACACTCAGCCTCCACACTGGTCATACTGGGGGCCATGGAGCTGCAGGAGCCTTGCCATGATCAGGCTCCTGGATTCAACAAT